TTTTTTTGGGTTATTTGTTCTCTTTTGGAGACATAGAAGGTGATAGAAACTCAAACCAGCCACCAGTACCATGGATGAGATCATTTAACCCTTTGCTGGTCTGTTGATTCTCCTGAGCTGCTCCTCCCAGATATCTCCACCGTGGTTCTCTTTGGCGCCTGTATCGAGGGAGTCCTCCTTAGAGACAAGTGAGTAAAAACCTGATTTTACCCAAGAAATGGTGTTTCTTAGAGAAACGCATCATGGAAAAATCATCTTTTGACAGGACAGGTGAATGCTTTGGTCAAAATATTTTCTTCATCCTGCTTGTTTGATGCTCCAGATTTGGGGATTCTGTGAAAGGGAACCTCGTCATCGGCACGCTGTCCTGGCCCTCGCCCTGGGTCATTGTGATCGGCTCCTTCTTCTCCTGCTGCGGAGCGGGTCTGCAGAGTTTGACCGGCGCTCCTCGACTCCTGCAGGCTATCGCTAGAGACGGCATCGTCCCTTTCCTGCAGGTTGGACACAGATCCACGCTGCCAGCTCTCGTTCCTGTTTGACCAATGCTAATAGCGGGCTGTTTCTCTATCTGGGGGAAGGTGTTTGGACATGGGAAAGCTAACGGAGAACCGACGTGGGCTTTGCTGCTGACCGCCGGGATCTGTGAGATCGGCATCCTCATCGCCTCCCTGGACGCCGTAGCTCCTATCCTTTCCATGTGAGGATCTGTTTGCATTGGATTAGTTCCTGCTCTCCTGTTATAAAAGCAGATGTTGTCTGATCCCCTCAGTATCCTCACTGTTCAACAGCATTATAAAGTCATAAAGGGGGAATTTAGTGTAATAATAAGTGAGAAATGTATCAGTTTGTTTTTGCTTGTTGTCTGCAGGTTCTTCCTCATGTGCTACCTGTTTGTCAACCTGGCCTGTGCTGTTCAGACGCTGCTGCGAACGCCCAACTGGAGACCCCGCTTCAGATACTACCACTGGTAGGTCTTAAAGGAATAGTACACCCAAAACATGATTAGCCTTCATTTTCTACTCACCCCCATGCTGAACAACACTCTGGAGTACTTTTTTGATATC